ACCGACGGTCGGATGTCTTTGCACACCCACCCTTTGCGCCCGTTCTCATTATCGCGTCGCAGCAACCCCTAAAATGCCACCCTGGAAAGGTCCCTGGCACCGATCTAAGCTCTACGAGGAGATATTTCGAGAAAGGACGAGAGAAAATTGCTGTCTCTCTCCTTCCCACCCGTGCTAACGCCACCTTTCATCTCCACCATCCTCTCTCTCTTTCTCTCCTCCCTTCTTCTCTTATTTACGCTTGCATCCTCTTTGAAGTTACGAACGTGGATAAAAACGACGAACTTTTCGTAACGCTCATTGTTCACCTTCTTTCCTTCTCTCCTTTCGAGTCACGTCTACTCTTCCAGCCTTTCCTCTCCCTTCCACTTCTTTTCATTCCTTTCGACACGAATATTGCATACGGAGGGAATAGAAATTAACAAGTTTCGAGCGATGGAATACTACTTTTCCTTCGATCGATTGTTCGACTCGTGAATTCTAATCTCTTGGAAGAAAATTTTTCGAGCTTCGACAATTTTCCAAAAAACGAAATATTCTTTCTTCTCCCGAACGACGAAAGTTTATATTCGATTTAAATTCGTTCATCGATCGTATTTACAGGGTGTATCCCTGCCTCCATTGATACATAGAAGGAGAAGACGAAACGAGGGGTTGAAAGGAGAAGAACGGGCAAGGGTATCATTAGTTACCGTCGCGGCGACCGAAAGTTCCTGGTCACCCGGGGCCTGATTAAAAGACGGGACACCCTTGCAAGACACGCAAGGAGGGTGAAATGTGACGCGAATTTAAAGGATCCGCCGTGATTTGACGCTGGGGTGGACAGAGGCAACCCTTAAAAAGGGAACCTTTAAGGATCCGGCACCGCACTACTCGTCAAGGGTTACCTCGCTTTCGCCGGTGGACGTGAAAGGGCGTCGTTTAAGACCGACTCGAGTTCTCTCTGAAAATCGACACCGATCGACCCTTTCTCTTTCTTCCTTTCTAAGAGACTGTACGCGATAATTACTCGTGAATCGATTAAGCTGTCTTCAAACGAGATATTCGATTCGCTCGCTAACTTTATCACTGTTTGGTTCGAGAAATAAATTTCAAATTTCGTACGTTTGACAAAAATCAAACCGTACGATTTCGTCTTTCCAATAATATCGATGGTCCCCTTGGAAACTTGGTTGGACGGAAAGGAGGTAAGGGAAGGAAGTGGGTGGAAATGAGAGGAGAGGAGGAAGGAAGTAAGAGGAGGTCCTCTTTAAAAGAAAGAAGGTCCTCGCGTAAGGAAAATCTAGCGTAAAACGATCCGTGAAACGAAGGCGAGCGACAGTTTTAAACTGAACGCTGCTAACAATCTCCCCTAAATGAGGTAAAGGCCACCTTATTGAAACAGGGGTCGCGATTTTTCCGGCTGCTCCCCCAACCTCCCTGGTAGGCGGTTAATTGACACTGGTGGAGGGTGGAAAGAGGTGGAACAACGGGACGAGGGGGGAAGGGGAGGTTAGGAATCGAGCTG